AGAGGTCTATGATTTAATATTAGTATTTTAACTATAAACTTGTGTTTTGCATATTAAATTTAATTTCACTAATTTGTCATCAAATTAAATGCAAATCCCTTTTTTTAACCCCATCAGCAAAAATAACAAAAAATAAATTTCAAGTGAAAGTTTATGTAAATGAAAAATAATACTGCAGTATTAGCAATTATTAAAAATGTTTACAGTTTTTGAATGTTAAATATAAATAAAGTAATAGACTTTTTTATTATTAAGTAATGTTTCCGTTGCATAATATATTTAGTAAATAAATAAATTATGAGTGAAAAAAATAATAAAGAATATATAATTAGACTTTTTACTTGTAGCAGACATCCTATAGTACAAACATTTGTTTACTACTTTGAATGCCATAACAATTCCTACAACAATGTTGGTGTAGTATTTACTGTTTTGTACTTTGCAGTTTATATGTGCAAATTTTTTCTGTTGTTAAAATCAGTGTATTCTGTATTTCTTCTAGACAAGTAAGTTACAGAGTCAAGTTGCTAAGTTACGGTCACAGGTGGAGAAAGGAGAAGCCATCAAACAAACACTGGAATATGAACTCACACTTGCTAAAAAGAATGTGAGTCAGGAACAGAGACTAGCTGCGGACAGAGAGATGGATTTAAACTCTGTCATTGCAGCTAATAAAGGTATTAATTCGGTTTTCCATTTGTTAAAAATGTTGCTTCTTATTTGTATAAAATCTATAACAGTGTCCAGAATAATTATGAAAAAATTCATAAATTTTTGGGAAAGTTTTATTATTTATTAAGGACTATAACATTTATTTAATTCGCCTTGGTCATTAAGTTTATGTATAAATTCGGCAAGGAAAAAAGTTGGAGATTTTCTTTTCTCACAAACATAATGTGCACATTACATGTATCAAGGAGTAAGTTTATGCTGTAGATCCATATAATTAATATAATTAATCACTTTTTGGACACTGTTCTATGTATTCTTTAGAGCTGTGTCATAATTGGTTTAAAATAACCATGTGACTTGTGTCAAGCTAAAAGCATTGTGGGAGATTTTTTACTCAAAATGCAGGTGGAATGGTTTGTGTAATCCGTGTTCCAAACATATACAATTGAAATATCACCTGTGGTATGTTGATCACTGGCTGTAATTTGTTTACTTCTACCTGTATAGGAATTACAATTGACATAATCACGGAAGTAAAACATGATTAGGTTCAAAATACAAACCCTCAGATAATAAATCAGTATGAAGTGTAAATTTATAAACTATAACTAATATTTACCAAAGTACTTTTAAAAATAACCTGGCAACAGCTCCGGTATAGATCTATTTCTTTACCCCAATTATCATTGATTCTTAGTGACAAAAAAATCATCATTTATTAAACGTCATGTATTGATTATTTCACTCCACTTTGCTGACTTTTTTGTGTCCCTAATTTCCAATTACTTTTGGCTTTGCTCGTCTGTCAAAATAATTTTCAATTATAATTAATCTTCATTAAGCTTTCCTCAAAAGCTGAAAAAAATTCCTGATCAATGAGTCAAGGGTTTCCATTTTCTGATTTTTTTTGTGGAAAGATAAATGTTGTTTCAATTTGTTATTTACAAATATATTCAACTTTATTGTACAGAGAGAGTAGCAGTATTATGCGATGAAGTTGAGGACTTACAGAGGAAACTGGAAAGAAACATGACATCAACCTCGGACGAAGCTCATAAACTCAGGAAAATAATTGATGAAAAAGTATGACACAATCACTAACGCTTTAAAGCTGATTTTGGGATGAGTTACATTATTACCATCGCATGTATAGTCATCGTTTGTTTCATACAAACTGATAATTAAATAGCTTCCGCTACTAGTTTGTTTTGATAGTTTACTCAAATGAATTTGTTTTGGGTGATAGTCAAAAGAAAACTTACATGATACTTTGAAGCAAGACTGTATTTTTGTTATTTCTCTGTGATAATGTAAATTTTGTTTACAGGACGCTGTTATTGCCAAATGCTACGCAGAACAAGATTATCTTCAGGCTGAGAAAGACCGACTTGAAATCGTCATTCAAGAAAAAGATGGGTGAGTTGTACTACTTCATCTTTGAAACTTGCCACAGTGAGAACACCCTCTTTCCCTGAAAAACAGGACCATCAATTTATGTAAATAATAAAAATAAATATCTTGGCTTTTATATTTCAGTGAAACTGATGACGCAGAACAGAAAATTTCCTCTCTGGAAATGGAAAGGAACACTCAATCAGAAACAGTCAGACGACAACTCGGTGATTTGGAGTATGCCGCTGAGAAAGAAGATAGACTTAAAAAAGATTTAGAGGTAAATTATTGACGATCAGAATTGTCTTTATTTTTTTGAAATTTTGCTCGTTTTTATTTTGTCAGATCTACATTTTGTGTATTTTGAAATGATACAGGTTCATACCTAAAGAGGTTCAATGGCTACCCTTTTTTTTTAACAAATATAAAATTTAAATAAATATTTGTATTCTTTTTATTCCTATTCTGTAAAATGTCATAAATATGTTTATCAAATGTTTTTTATTTTGACAATCTTATGTTCTTATTTTATTGAGTATTAATTTGTTGTTATTTCCTTAAGGTTGCGGTCAATAGAATCAAGAGTTTAGAAGAAAATATTGAAGCTGAGCGAGCTGCTCACTTAGAATCAAAGTTCAACTCTGAAATTGTACAGGTACGTACTATCAATACTGGCTGTAACTATCGATACTGGCTGAAACTTGTTGTATACTGGATTCATGGGTGTAGGTCTAGAGGTCAGTCTTTTTGAATACTGCCTTATCGGTCTGCATAATGAAGGTGTGAAGTGGATATGCAAAGGAAGCTATAAAATTGGAGAACTATAAATTCCTGCAAATTGCATAGTTAAAAGAAGTATTGAGAGAATATTTGAATTGAGAATTGATACATGGTTAGAAATGAAAATCATATAATTGTTGACAGTAAGCAAATTGATATTAAAATAAACATTGTTTTGCCTAAATAAAAACAGGAAAGAATCTGAACAAGAGTAATTTGAGTTTATACTTGTTCTCAAACTTTTTTTATTTTTTATTTGTTAGCTGAGGGTGAGAGATCTGGAAGGGGCGTTGGAAGTCGAAAAGTCAGCTCGTAGTGAATCAACAGTCAATGCCGATTTGTTGAATTCTCAATTGAGAGAGTTAGAATCATTATACGAAGAGGAAAGGAAAAATGCGAAGAATCTCAAAGCTCAACTCGACAAGTAAGTATAGAGTCAGCTAAGTAGATAGATGTCTGTCATTGTTCTAGTCGTCCATGTCGTAAACTTTCTTGTGGTTTTAAACTCTTCAAGCTAAATTAAAACTTATTTAAAGGAAACTGATTTTTTTTTTCCTTCTCAATTTTTTTTATAGAGTGAGCAAAGAATATGAAACTGTGAAGAAACAACTGACACATGAAATAGACGACAAGTCATCGATGATCTCCAATCTGTCCAAGCAGTTAGAATTACATCAGAAGAATTTTAATGAACTGAAGGATGAGTTAAACAAGGTGTTTACCAAATTTAATCTATTAGATCCATCCTCCGATCTGATAGACGAGGTCCCGCCACACGAACAAGTGGATGAACTTCCACATTACACCGATATCGCTGGGTTTGTGAAACTGCGTTCAGACGTGCACTCACCGCCAGAGTCTGGTATTAGTTCAACCATCCCAGACTGTGCCTCGCCACGAATTCATGAATTCACCTCCATGGGAGTGCTTGATACTGACCGCATACCGCAAATAAGAGAGTGTGGCAAGATTCCTGGCCTACAAAGCGAATTTAGTGAATCGCTTCCAGATAACTACAAGTTACTGGATCAGTTTGTTATTGTTATGGATAAATTTGAATACTAAAGACAGCCTAACACCCCTATTTACAAATGATATAGCCATATAGCCTATCAATAAAATACTTTTGCTGGGTTATAGCATTTGTAATGGAGGGGGGTTTTAGCATATTACAATTACTTGCCATTTCACACTTAAATTTAGACCATGACAGTATTTTTGCATCCAATCTTAATGGGAATCATGAACATAAATGAATATTTGCAATTATTAATCTAATCAGATGAAAAATTGAGTATGGATATTTAAAATCATTGAAAAATAACATCTAAGTCAACAAATATTTATAAATTGTAAAGGGAATTTACAAACAAGTGACTGACAAATAAATGTGAGACAAACTCTGATATGCAGACTTCAAGTCATGAATGTCAGTTGATTAGATGGGGTACTATCTGCTCCACATACCGGTAACTTGTAAAAACATCTTTTTAAAATTCAACTCAGGTTATCCATTGTTACCTATCTGTGTACAATGTGACAAGTGACCATTGAACCTCATTTGCCCACTCTCCCCTGCCCACCCTCCTCCGGCCAACTTCCTCTGCCAACCCTCTCACAGCTATCACTCAAAATGGTGACACTCAGAATGAGGTCAGTACCTATACCTACCATGAAACATATTCATTTTTCATCGTCATAGTTACACTGTTTACAAACAACAGTTACTAGAGAGGGGGAATGTTGTCAACTGGAATAGTGACTAATAATATACATTGAATATTTACCCCCCTCCCCCATTCTTGAAAGTTATCCATAGTGGTGAAACTTTTAATATATACAATAGTTGTTATGGTTACCCTTTATGAGTCCCTTACAAACAACATTAATGTCATTGATATTGATGCATATTTTGCAAAATATAACTAATCTATATATTTTTTCCTATATCTAATAACAACTCATGCATATGTTTATGTTACTAATTTGACAATTATTTAACAACTTTTTCAATTTTTATATTGATTGGTAATTTGGATCAAGTGTCCCAATAATCATTGTATATTAGTGAATAGAAGACATGTGGAGGCTCACTTACCAAATATATGTGTTTCATGTGTAAATAGATGTGAAGATTATGTGTAGAAAATCCATGTGAAAGGATGCCATATTAGAGTGTAACAAATATGTGAACAAGTCCCTGCCACGTGTGAGTGTAGGAAATGTATATGAGTGTCCCTGCCATATCTGTATAACATCATTGTGTGAAGGTCCCTGCCACATGTGAGTATGTAACACAAAGATGTGAATGTCCCTTCCGGCCTTGTGTAGCTTGTGTGAGTGTGTAGGAAATGTACTAGTATTACCGGTATATGTGAATGTAACAAAAATATGTGAAGTTTCTGTGAGTGTTTAGGAAATATATGTGACGGTCCCTGCTACATGTAACTTGAGTGAGTGTGTGGTTCCTGTCATATGTGAGTTTGTAGAAAAAAAATATGTGAAAGTCTGCCACAAGTAACTTGTGTGAGTGTGTAAAAAAAGATGAGATGGTCCCTGTCATATGTGAGTATGTAGAAAAAATATGTGAAAGTCTGCCACAAGTAACTTGTGTGAGCGTGTAAGTGTGTAAAAATGTACGAGATGGTCCCTGTCATATGTGCGTATGTAGAAAAAAATTGTGGAAATCCCTGCCACAAGTAACTTGTGTGAGTGTGTAAAAAAATGTACAAGATGGTCCCTGTCATAAGTGAGTATGTAGAAAAAAATATGTGAAAGTCTCTGCCACAAGTAACTTGTGTGAGTGTGTAAAAAAATGTACGAGATGTCCCTGTCATAAGTGAGTATGTAGAAAAAAAATATGTGAAAGTCTCTGCCACAAGTAACTTGTGTGAGTGTGTAATAAAATGTACGAGATGGTCCCTGTCATAAGTGAGTATGTAGAAAAAAAATATGTGAAAGTCTCTGCCACAAGTAACTTGTGTGTGTGTAAAAAAATGTATAAGGATGGTCCCTGTCATAAGTGAGTATGTAGAAAAAAAATGTGTGAAAGTCTGCCACAAGTAACTTGTGTGAGCGTGTAAGTGTGTAAAAAAA